GGTCTACGACGGGGTCACACGTGGGACCAGAGTCTCAGGGAAGTTAAGGGCAGGGCGTCCGGAGTCAGACAGACTTTTACCGCTGTGGGGCTTTGGGCTAGTTACCGCCCCTCTGAGTCTTGACCTTCTTGTCTGTAACATGGGGATGATAATTACATCCTCCTCCTGCCGCTGTGAGGACTAGAGCTAACGCTTGTAAGGCTGCTACCGTGTGCCAGCACTGTCCTCAGTGTCACGGAAGTTCACTCTTATCCCCTCACAGCAGCCCCAGGAGGTATGTGCTGTTATCACTTCCATTTTAAAGATGAGAATACTGGGGCACAAAAGGGTAAGGTGTCCAAGGTCACACAGCTGGTAAGAGGCAGAGCCAGGCGTTTGGTTCCAGTGTTTGGGCTCTGAGCTACTACACTCTCCTGCCAGATAAAGGCTGCAAAGCACTTAGCATGCTTGGTACTCAGTAAATGCTGGCCACTATTTTTTTTTAATGTGTATTTATTTTTGAGAGACAGAGAGAAACAGAGCACGAGTGGCGGAGGGGCAGACGCAGAGAGGGAAACACAGAATCCAAAGCAGGCTCCATGCTCTGAGCTGTCAGCACAGCCTGAGGCGGGGCTCGAATCCACAAACTGTGGGATCATGACCTGAGCCAAAGTCGGCGCTTAACCAACTGAGCCACCGAGGTGCCCCAATGCTGGCTATTATTTTTATTAGACTCTTCAAAACTGTGGCCACAACCAGGTCTCTCCCACTCCACACCCTTCTTTCAATATGACTTTGACACTCTTCCCATTGAGAGTTGGGGCTAAGGTTCCCTCCCATAAGTCTGGGGGGGCCTGAGGCTATGGCAGAGGTGATGCCGTGTGACTTCTGGGCTAAGCCTAAAGGGGGATACAGCTCTATTTCATGGGGAGGCTCATTCTTGGAGCTGCCAAGCTGTGAGGAAGCCCACACAACACTGAGCGCCCACCTATGGTTGCATTAGTCAACAGCCCTGAGTTCCCAGCTGATAGCCAATGTCAACTTCTAGACATGTGAGTGAAGATGCTTCCAGATGGGTCCAGACCCAGATGCCAAGTCACCCCCAGCCTTCAAGTCTTCCCAGGTGAGGCCTCAGACATCGTGGAACAGTGACAAACCATCCCCACTGCACTCCGTTTGGATCCCTGACCCACGGAATCTCTGCACATAATAAAACAATTGTTTTGCACCACTAAGTTTTGGAGTGGTTTGCTATGTGGCAGTAGTAACTAGACCAGCCACGGTGCTACACGGCAGGGATTTGTTGATATGGAAACTCAGAAAGGTTGATGACCTGCCTAAGCTCCAAACGGTAAGAAAAAGTGTTGTATCCATAAAACAAGAATATGGATCTATGAAAAAGAACACCCAGAGAGCAAAAATGAAGTTCTTAGGAATTCAGACTATGTTAGCAGAAATGAAAAACTCAATAGAAGTTTTGGAAGATAAAGCTGAGACTATTTTCTCATATCATAACAAATAGAAGAAAACAGGAAGAAATGAGAGAAAGAGGATTAGTTCAAGAATTTAACATCCAAATAATAGGAGTTTCAAAAATGAGAATAAACCAAATATGGCTGGGAGGGGATACATCCATTTAATCACACAATTAAAGAACACTTTTTAGGACTAAAGGGCATGAGTTTCCAGATTGAAAGGGCCCCAAGGGTAGCTAGCCCATAGGCAAATTATCATGACATTTAAGATGTAAGGTGAGATGTAAGGCTTCCAGGGAAGATATAGTAAGTTACAGAGGATCAATGTTCCCACTAAAAACAACTAGTAAAACCAGATAGTTTATGAAATCATATTGTAAAGCCACCACTGAGCTATGGGAGCAATGAGGACCAGATGTATTAAAATTCTAGAGAGGAGAGAACCATTCCGAAATTCATGCACAATTTTTTAATGCCTGGGGGCATTTCATGATCTGGGCATGGGCTGAAGACATGGGCATAGGCTGGACAATGGCTGCTATTGGTGAAAGAGAAAGCAGCAAAGATTTTAATAGACACACAGGACTAAAAGGACAAAATTGGAGACTTGATGAACCTCAAACCTGAACAGTTTTCCCCATAAGATGTTAACTGAAACCCAGAACTATTAAGAGGCCAAAGAGCTAACTTGAAAGCTTCTGAAAGACATATTAAAACTTCCCAGTCTCATCATGCTTAGAAACCAAGCCCATTTCCGTGAAGGGACCCCAAAACAAAATAAGCAAGAGATTAAAGCCTTACAAACATCTTCTTAGTATATATCAGAAACATTGGAGGGCTTGTTGATACATGATTGGCTCCCATCCTCAGTAGGTCTGAGGGGGCCCATTAATTTGAATTTCTAACATTTTCCCAGGTAATGCTGATGTTCCTGATATGGGAGCCACACTTTGAGAACCGCTGCCCTAGAAGGAGTGGTGAATCAATACTGAGAGGCTGTAGCCGCACCTGGAGGCACTAAACCAATTATGGGCACAATTAGAGGCTGAGAATCCAAGCTTGCCCCTGGCAGAGAAGGTTACCACTAGGGCTGCAGATTTTGCATTCATGCAGGGCTGGGAGACAAAATTGGAGACTTGAGAGGGGTGCCTGGGTGGCTCAGTCCATTAAGTGTCCAACTCTTGATTTCGGCTCAGGTTGTGATCTCAGAGTGCGTGAGTTCAAGCCCAGAATCAGGCTCTGTTGCTGACAGTGTGGAGCCTGCTTGGGATTCTCTCTTTCCTACTCTCTCTGCCCCTCTTCTGTTCGTGCTCACTCCCTTTCTCTCTCATATTAAATAAATAAATTTAAAACAAAAACTTTTTTAATTTTTTTTTTTAATTGGAGACTTGAGAATCCTCAGACATATGGTCAGTCTTTCCCATCAAGATATCTACCAAAAGTTTGAAGCTGCATGGGAAGGGCACTAAAGGGTTAGGCTGAAAACATCTGACTAAATCTTACACAAATTGCCACCCAGGTTTGAAACAGCTCAATGAACATCTACATAGAAGTGATAAGTGTACTCATCTTCCTTACAAAGAAAATGGGGAACTCTCTCTAGTTGAAGTTATACCTTTCTGGAGCACAGAGTTCTTTTGTATACAATGTCCAGAAAAACACTAAAAAATTACTGGACATGAAAAGACAATACCATATGATTGATACTCCAAAGAAAAACAACAATAGAAAAAGATCATAGATGATCCAGATATTGGACTAAGCAGATAAGGATATAAAAATTACTACAACAATATATTAAATAAAAGAAAGAAAAAATGGACGACATAGGTAAGATGTTGGAGAATTTCACCATAGAATTAAAATTTATGAAAAGAATCAAATATGTATTCTAAAACAATGCAATATATGAAATTAAGAACTTAATGGAAAAATTTAACAGTAGATTAGACAGAACAGAATACAGGATTAGTAGCAAACTTAAAGAAATGTGAATCGAAAATATCAAAACTCAAGCACATAGAGAAAAAGAATGAAAATCAAACACATCAGGTAGTAGCATAAGAATTATGTGGAACACACTCTAACAGTCTAGCATAGATGTAACTGGAGTTCTAGGAGAGGAGATAGATAATGGGGAAGAAACAATATTTTAAGAAACAATAGCTAAGCATTTTTAGCAACTATTGAAGAAATAAATCTGCAGATCCAATAAGCTCAGCAATCCAATCCCAAGCAGGTTAAATATGCAACACTGCGGATAAAAAGAACATCATACAAACTCCCAGAGATAAAAAAAAAAAACAGATCACACTCAATGGACCAATAATAAGAGCACTAACAGACTTCTCAACAGCAGCAGTATAACTAGAACACAACAGTGGAATTCTTTCAAAATGTTCAGGGCAATAGTTCCTATCTAGAATTCTATACCCAGCCAAACTATCAATCAAATGCAAGGGTAGAATAAAGATATTTCCAAATGTGCAAGTTCTAAGCAAATTAATATGCCTCTTATTTAACTCTTTCCCAGGAAATTATTGGGGGATGTGCTCCACCAAAAGCTGGGAAATAGGAAGAAGGGCATCAAACAAAGAAGTCAGATGTTTGGGAGCAGAATGGCCAGTATCTCACCTCATCTGACATGGCTTCCATCAACTGGAGCTTGGCAATGAGTTGGGTCATGTTACCTCGGAGGTCCTGGATTTCCCCAGAGTGATGCCGCACCTTCTCCTGGTATATTCTTACAAGAAAGGAGTGAGAACATGGAGTGACTGATTTGCAATGCTGCTATTGTCACCCTCAGCTTCTATCTGTGTCAGTCAACCTACAAAGAACTAGCTTCACATTTCCTCACTCTTCTGGGCCCATCCCTGGCCCTACCCAGCAGGTTCTTGTCTCTTCCTCCTACTTGGAATATCTTTAAATTTAACTCATTCCTTCCAAATATTCCTATTTTGTTTGCAATTAAGGATGATGCCACCAGGTGGTATACTGTTGGTTAAAATTTCTTCTCAGCTTCCACTTGCTGAGTGTGATTTATTCAGGACAGTTGACATCTTTAACGTTCATAATTACCCAGAGCAAGGTGGGTGTTATGTCTCATCTCATAAATGAGGAGTTGAAGGCCCAGAGAGGTGAAGTGACTTGCAAAAGTTTAGCCAAGTAGGAAGTATGGGAGCTGGGATTTAAACCTAGGTTTATCTGACTGTGGAGCCCACATTCTCAGCCAATACCTTACAGGTCCTGGATATAGTTCTGGTTTTTAGGTGATAGTAAGATTATTTAGCAGATTCTTCTTACCTCAAGCTCTGCAGTGGACTATCTATGCTGTCATCCTGGTAGGGTGTTGCAGAAACAAGGGATCTTTTTCAGATGGCCTCATCTGGGCCCAATAGAACTTCCTCCATTCAATCTCCCACAACCATAAATCTATCCATTCATCTGCCTTCCCATTTACTCTTCCATCTATCCACTCACCTACCATCTATCCAAAATCCAGTGTATCCTCCATTTTAAGTCGATTCATCCAAATCCACATTCATCCACCCTTCCACCTATCCACCAGCCCATCCAACCACCCTTTCTCACACATATACTCCTCCATTTATCCAACCTGCCTCATCCCTCCTATCCACCCTCCCATTCATATAACTTACCTTATATATTGTCAATACCCTTTCATCAATCACTTCATCCTCCCATCTATCTACCCTCCCATCTATCCAAACTCCCATTAACCATCTGTCCATCCATCCATCCATCCATCCACCCATCCATCCATCCATTTATCCATTCATATAGCTAATCTGCCCTCCTATCTGTCCATCTGTCCATTTTCTCATCCATTGAGTCTTCCATTCATCCATCCATCTATCCCCCCAGCCATTTTCCCACATCCCTACATCCATCACTTCTATCGTCTCATCCATTCCACATTTCCATCTGATCATCCAATTAACCAATACTGATAGTGGCAACTTTCTGCCCAGTCCTGAGGTGGACATCACTGGAGTGAATTAGACGTGGCTCTGCCTTCAAGAGCACCCAAAAAAGTTGGGAAAATGTCATGGTTGCATTCATGATTAGAGAAAATTGTGGGAGGAAAGGGGAATGTCATCCCCTCCACCTGGTATTTCTGGGGGAAGTGACATTTTAGCTGGATCTTGAAGTATATGAAGGAGTTTATAAGGAGAAAAGAGTAGAGGGAAGGACAAGCTCATCAGATCTCTTTTCTCCTTAAGCATTCTGAGACTCTTTGTTGTCCTCTGACAGGGAGCGCTAGCCATGATTTCCTCCTCCTTTCTCCCCAGGAACCACAAAGCAAATGATCTTATTTCATTTGAACAGAACAAACCGCCTTGAGTAGAGAGAATTGTGTTCCATTCTCACTATCGTTCTCTAGGAGGGAGATTTGATAAAGGAAAGATAGGTCACCTCTGGGAGGGAGAGGCAGGAGAGCCATTCTGTAGGATGGACTATTGAATCTGGTCTTTAAAGTCACATTTTGGTGAGAGAGATGGGTTCCAGGTGGGTGGCATCGCAAAGACAGAGATTTGGGGCTGGAACGAGTCAGGAACTGATCAGGTTCCAGATGTGATGAGAGTGAGAGAAGCTGATGTAGGCAGCATTGACTAGTTGGGGTGCGGCCAGTCAGTGCTGAGGCCTGAAGAGAGCACACACTTACCCGCCAGACTTCCATTTTAGACGGTACGTGCATAGAAAATATCCAGAATCCTGTGGGGCCAGGAGAATGAGAGTGAGATATTTAAGATGAAAGGTTAAAAGCTTAGGCTCTGGAGTTAAGGCATCTAGACTCAAATCCCAGCTTTGGCACTTACTAACATTGTACAACTTTGGAAGAATTTACTTAATCTCTCTATACCTCAATTTCCTCCTCTGGGAATTTCTTCCTCCTAAAATGGGACCAACAGTAATATCCACTTCATGATCAAATGATATCGTATATGTAGAGTGTCTCACATAAACCAAATAATCCATGTCCCCTCTCTCTCCCCTGCTCCAATTCTACTGGGGATAATTGATGAAGAGAAGAAAATGGGATAATGTTCCCTGTATTTTATAGTCTCTGTGTTGCCTTAAATCCTACCATTCAAGCCATTATTAAAGCTCTTTAAAACCTATTCATTGTTAATGATAAAACAATCAACAAATCAGGAATAGAATGGAACTCCCACAATCTGATAAAGCCCATTTATGAAAATCCCCCAGCTAAAAAACACTTAATGGTAAAATATTGGATGCATTCTTCCTAAAATCAGGAACAAAACAATTATGTCTACTCTTGCCATTTCTATTTAACATTGTCATGTAGGTTCTAGCCAGGTCAATTAGTCAAGAAAAAGAAATAAAAGGCAGATGACACAACCTTGCATACAGAATCTTAAAGTATCTAAGACTGGATGTCATGCTCAGTGTCAAAGCAATAAATGAGTTCAGCAAGGTTGCGGGATACAAGATCAGTATATGAAAATCAATTATATTTTTCAACACAAGCAATAAATAATCTGAAAATGATATTAAGAAAACAACTCAATTTACAATAGCATCTCAACAAATAAAATACTTGGAATAAACTCAACAGAAGTATAAACTTTGCACTCTAAAAGATACAAAACATCATTAGAAGAAATTAAAGACAACATAGAGATATATCAATAATAGAAAGACAGCCCATGTTCATGGATTGGAAAACTTAATATTGTTCAGGTGACACTACTCCCCAAATTCATCTATGAATCAATGCAAACTCCCTCAAAATACCTATAGCCTTTTTTTTTTTAAGAAATGGAAAAATTGACGCTAAAATTCATATGAAAATGTAAGGGACTATAATAGCCAAAACAATTTAAAAAGAACAAAGTTGGAGAACTCATAATGCTGGATTTCAAAACTTATTACAGAGTTATAGCAATTAATCCAGGGTAGATAGATAGACAAATAGAGAGATGGCAAATAGATAGACAAATAGATAGATGGCAAATAGATAGACACATAGATCAAAGGAGTAAAATTAAGAGTCCAGAACTAAACTCTCACATTTATGGTCAATTGATTTTCAATAAGGGTAGCAGACAATTCAGTAAGAGAAATAATAGTTTTCTCAATAAATGGAACAACTGGATATCTACATTCAAAATAACAATGTTGGACTCTTACCTCACAACATATGCAAAAATTAACTCAAAAATGGATCATGGACCTAAATGTAAAGGCTAAAACTATACAAATCTTGGAAGAAAAAGTGGGAGTAAATTTTTATAGCTTTGGGTTAAGCACTAGTTTCTTGCACCTGACATTAAAGTACCTATGGAAAAAGAAAACATGGATAAAGTGGACTTCATCAAAATTTAAAAAATTTGTGCTGCAAAGGACACCATCAAGAGAAAGTGAAAAGACAACCCACAGAATGGGAGAAAATATTTGCAAATTGTATATCCGATAAGGGACTTCTATCCAGACCATACAAGGAACCCTTAAAACTCAATAATAAACAGACAACCCAATTTAAAAATGGGCCAAGACTGAATAGACATTTCTCCAAAGAAGACCTATAATTGGCCAATAAGTATATGAAAAGGTGCTTAACATCATTAGCCATTAGACAAATGAAATAAAAACTACAATGAGGTACCACACTTCATGGCTAAAATTTTTTTTTTTATTTTTTTTAACGTGTATTTATTTTTGAGACAGAGACAGAGCATGAACGGGGGAGGGTCCGAGAGAGGGAGACACAGAATCCGAGACAGGCTCCAGGCTCCGAGCTGTCAGCACAGAGCCCGACGCGGGGCTTGAACTCACAGACCGTGAGATCATGACCTGAGCCGAAGTCGGCCGCTCAACCGACTGAGTCACCCAGGCGCCCCATAAAATTAAAGACAGGTAATAACCAGTGTTGGTGAGGAGGCAGAGAAATTGGAACCCTCATACATGCCAGTGGGGATGTTAAGGTGGTACAGCTACTTTGGGAAAAAGTTTGGCCAATTGCTTAGATAGTTAAGCATACAGTTGCCACAAAACCCAGAAATTCCACTTCTAAATAGATACCCAAGATAATTTAAAACACATGTCCACACAAACATTTTACAGGATCATTCACAGGAACGTTACTAATGGTAGTCAAAAAGCAGAAACAACCGTAATATCCATCAACCGATGGACAGATAAGCAAAATGTGGCATATCCAAACAATGGACTATTTTCAGCCATAAAAAAGGAGGAAACGCTGATGTATGCTACGCCATGGATGAACTTTGAAAACATTATGACAAGTGAAAGAAGCCACAAAGACCACATAGTGTATGATTCTATTTATATTAAATGTCCAGAATAGGCAAATCCATAGTCACAGAAAATAGATTAGTGATTGGTCGCCTAAGACTGGGGTGAGGGGGAATGGGAACCAACTGTCTGGGACTGGGGGGGGGAAGCTGGTTCTTTTGAGGGGGAGGCAGTGAAAATGATTTGATACTTGGCGATGGCTACCACAAAGAACTTTTTGTGAATATACTAAAAACCACTGAATTGTACACTTTAGAATGGTGATCTTTCTGGTATGTGAACTATATCTCAATAAAGCTGTTATTTAAAAAAAAAAAAACTTATTTGTTAAGTTTCCTAGGAATTTCAAATTTCCTAAGACATTCTCTCGACCCCACCCCCACCCCACTGCCCTGCCTCCTTGGGCCAGTGTACTCGAGAGGAGGGAGGAGACTCCTTTGCTCGAGAAAGCAAAGCTGCGACCTGGGAGGTGGCAGCGGTGGTTGGAAGGAATCCGCCGAAGCTCAGAAACAAGTAATAACGATCATACCACGGTTGGGGGGAGAACTTGAGTTTTCAGCGCTTTTCTTAGTGTTCAAAACATGTTCTTGGTCATCAGTTAATTTAATCCTCACAGCAATACTCATTAACAGCCTTCACTCTTTTCCTCCCCAGGTTGGGCAAGAGCGCAGGGATACCTCCACCTGGGATGGGGCAGGGCCCTGGAGACTTACCAAAAGCACAGAGGACGAGAACACCTGTCTTTTCCATGAGCTTCTGGAAGAGCAGCCTGCATCTGGAAAAGAGAGAAGCAGAGATCAAGGTGAAGTGGAGTTTTGCATAGGCTAGCAAGTCCTGGCCTGGCCCTTGCCCTCTTCCAACCCTGAAGCGCAGGGCCCTCCCTGGGCAGTGATACCCCCTCCAAGATGCTGACCACGTTCTGTGACTGCACAGCCTCACGGAGGAAAGAAAGCTCTCACCCCAGCATTTGGGGCCATCAGAGATCACTGACCGTGGTCCACCACGTCCTTTTCACACCCGTCTCCAGCTATGTACTGTCTGTTCCCTCCCTTCTGTCCTGGTGAGCGCACCCTTCAGGGTTCAGCTCAAACAAACGTCCCCTCCTCCTATGACCTTCAGAGTCAACACTGCCCACCCTCACCCTTAACACCGGGTTTGGTGTCTTCCCCCACTGGGAGCTCAGGAGTGGTGAGGGTCAAGGCTGGGCCCAGAGTAGGCCTTAAGATGTTTAGGATGCAGGCTCTAAATGGATGAATGAGGGCGAAAGCTTTGCGGCACTTGGGAGGAGTTTGCGTGGGACAGAAGAGTGAAGGGAAAGGAAGGGACAGGCATGCCAGGAAGAAAAACAGCCTGTGCCTGGTGCTGAGGTGGGAGCAGGAACGGCGGGCCCAGGGGGTGAGAACCCTAGTCTTGCTGGCCCAATGGGTCCACGACAGGATGCAGAATGAGAGCAGCATGGAAAGAAAGGGTGGGGCAGGATTCCAGAAGGTTGCGGGCTGAGGTGCTGGAGCCCTGGGGAGCCACAGTGGGTTCTGAGGTGAGAGAATATGCCAAAAGCCAGGTTTGGGATGGCAGGTCTGGTCCGGTGATCAAGGGATCATCCAGGCCAGTGAGGGGACTGTCATAGGAACGGGCTGCGTGTTCCCAGCCCCCATCACCCTCCCCTCACCTGCCCCCACTCACCTGCAGTTGTTGAACAGAATCTGGTGAGCCTGAGTCCTCAGGAAGCAGGCCAGGCAGGTGATCCAGGCTGCAAAGGAGGCAGGAGAGCAGGGAGTAACCACACCCTTGTTTTTATCCCACCAACCCTTGCAGGAGGCGAGGTCCTACTGCTGGGAGACCCTCTCAATTTTGTAATCGAGCCCAGGATAGCCCTGCTCTGGGGCACACGAAGCCTGGGATGTGCCGATGCCCATTCCCAGACACTGGGGGCTTCTCAAGGGCAGAGTCCTTGTCTGGTTTATCCCCAGGTACCCAGTGTTGCCCACCATGGAGCTAGGTAAAAAGTTGGGGTTCAGGATGGATGAGTAGGTGGGAGACACGTGAACGGACAGGGGAATGGTAAGAGAATGGTTTGGAAGGTGGATGAATAGGAGGACGGTTGAGAGGAGGGGCGGACGGAAGGATGGATGGAAGGACGGATGGGTGGGTGACTGGATGGGTGTGAGTAGTAACAAATAAAGGTATGTGTGGCCGATGGCTGACGCAGTGAACCCATGGGGTGCGTGGATATTACAGCAGATGGATATGAGGGCAGATGGCTGGAGAAATGACTGAGTGATGAGGAAATGGAGGGGTGGGTGGGTGAACACTGGCATAGAAGGCTGATCTTTAGGGGGTGGTCAGACCCCGTGCCCGAAGGGAGGGCACACCGCGTCACACCATTCCGTGGCTTCGTCAGTGGCCCCAGGGGCCAGGCTGGCGGGAGAGTAGCGGAGGGCCGACAGTCAGCCCCTCCAAACAGCAAGTCTGCCTCCTATCCCCTCTCCCCGACCACCAAAGAGACTCTGGCTGGAATGACGCCCCTGCCACCTTCGCTGGGAAGTCCTCCAGGGTTCCCTCCCTCCCCTGCAGCCCAGTGCAGGCCTTACCCCCACCCAGGCCCACGTTGACGGCCAGGGCATCTCTTCGGTGTATACGTACAGATACAGGCCAGCACGCACTGGGCCAGGCTCAGGGCCGGGGCGTTGATGCGGATGGGCAACACTATGGCATCACCTGCAGAGAGCACGGGGCCTGTCACGTCAGCGCCCACAGACACGGGGAGCACCCAGAGCGTGGTGCGGCCACGCCTGCTCCCTAGCCCGCCCCTTGCTGTGTGACTCCGGGCTGCCCATCTGACATCTCTGAGCGTCGGGCCCTAGTTGTTCACGAAGACCCCAGGGCCCCTCTCGTCCCTCCCTGCTCACTCGCGTTTGGCAAGGCGTCCTGGGCCATCCTGCAGGTGTTCCGGCCTCTTTGGGTGACCCTGGGGATAACAAGATTCACAATCGCATTTTATAATTTTTTCAAGAAACGTGGTGTCCCTGCGTTCCAGATTGAGAGACTGAGTGGCGGACAAGTTCGCCCAAGACCACCAGCCTGCGAATCAGGGACATACCAGGTCTGACCAACCCCAAACGCAAGTCTGTTTTGAGGAGAGGACTCGGTTTGCTGTGGCAGTCACAGGTGGTTATCCCCGCAAAGCCAATCGCTCCCGTCACTGGCAGGAGGCTGATTTTGGTCCCTCGTCCACTCCTACCCCATGTGATTTTAGACAATCCCGATCGCTCCAAGCCCTGCTGTCACACTCCCAGTGCCTTTGCTGTGACTGGCTCTGGTGGTGGTGGGGGGGGAGTTCCTACGGGGTGAGGTGTGGGGCTGGGCTGGGTATAGAGGCCTTGGGGGAAAGGCTTTCTCATTGCTAAAATGAGACCCACAGGAAGCAACGTCCACTCTCCTTGCACCCTATACAGCCATGCTTCTCCGTGCTTCTGGAACCCTGGTGGCCTGTGACGGCGAGGAGGCCAACAGGAAGAGCAAAAAGGTGGCAGGGACCTGTATCTTAGGGGACATTGCAGAACCGCAGAACTAATGTGCTCTGGAACCACACATGTCTTGGGACCTCTTGGCATGTGAGATAACAAATTGTCTTTATCTCTTAAGGCAAAGGTCTCCAAACATTTATTATCATACTCCCCCGATGTATTTATATTTATGAAGCAATTTTATATATATAATACCATATATACATATATATGTGCATAGCTCCAAGTGTGCTAACATATTATTTACTTTTTCAAATGTTTATACGTTCTTGAGGACTACAAATTAAAAGAGGGTGGGCTAAAAATATACGCTGAAGTTCGGATGATTTGTCCCCTCACCCCAGCAGATTGTTTTGTATATCCTCTTTTTAAAATATTTTTTAAAATGTTTTTATTTTATTTTTGAGTGAGACAGAGTGTGAGCAGGGGAGGGGCAGAGAGCGAGGGAGACACAGAATCGGAAGCAGGCTCCAGGCTCTGAACTGTCAGCAAAGAGCCCGACGCGGGGCTCGAACTCACAAACTGTGAGATCATGACATGGGCTGAAGTCGAAGGTTTAACCAACTGAACCACGCAGGCGCCCCTGGTTTGTATACCCTCTTGGGATATACACCCCTTTTGGGGGCGCAGAAGTGGGCAGACAGATGGCAGAGGTGCTTGTTTGCCCGTTTACCATCTCCCTTACTGGACTGTGACCTCCGTGGGGGCAGGAAGCACTTCCGCCTGGCGCAGCCCCGTGTCCCCAGCCCCCTGCTCAGTGCTTAGTAGGTGCTCAATAAACACATGTGGAAAGGGTGACTGCCCCATCACTCCCTTGGCTGGGAGACTTTAGGAAAGCCACAGTCAGACCTCTCTGACCTCAGTAGCTGCCTCTGTCAAGTGCGGCTGGTGACCGCCCGCTCACCTCCAAGGAGAGGGCAAAGGCAGTTTGTAAACCGCAAAGAACTGGGCAGAGAGGGGGGCTGCCGTCCTCACCTCCTGGGTCTGGCATTCTCAGGCGGGTCACACTGGTCCCTGGGGTTCCTCAAGGACCGTGGCATCAATTTTCTTCTCTAGGAAATCTAGGGAAACGGTGCTGGGGCTCTCTGGGAGTCGGCAAGGGGGAAGAGATTACCACTGCTGCCACCTCCTAGCGTTCCCTGGAAGGTGTCATGTGGGATCTAGCCGGGTCAAGTGGAGTCGTGGGCACTGTGACCTCACAGAGCGGGGGGGGAGGGGCTCTGCCCAGTCTCCAGCTTGGCCCTAGAACTTCCCCTTGGATGAGCCCATTCTGACTCCCTTTCTACTTATAAGATGAGGAAATTGAGGTCCCAGGACGGGAAGGGCCATGCTAGGATCTCAGGGCCTGGGCAGGGTTGAGAACCGAGGCTCCCATATCCAGGCCATGCTTTGTTCTTGCCCCCAGACCCCTTCCTGCCTCCAGCTTCCCGGACTTGCCACCTGCTTAGGCTGTCCGTGAAGGTTTATAATGCTTGTCTTCTCGCTAGTGGAGGTTTTGCATAACACAAAATAATGTATATGTGGTTGCTTTAATCAAGTTCTACTTCTCCTGCAGAAAAATAAACGCATAGCAGAGTGGAAATGTCTGGCTATAGATATTTTTTTCCGTCAGCCCTGCTAATGGAGAGCCAGTTTGGATTGTGAAGCTTAAAGGAACTCACTTTTGCCCCTTGATGGTAGTTGAGCAAATTGTAGGCTAAGTTCCAGCAGCCTGCAGAAGAAGGGTCCCTCAGGGAGTCCGGCATACAAAAACAGAATGTGTTTGTGTGTTAGGTTACAGAAAAAGATGTGACGCTTGCAGATGGGATTGAGGTTGCTAGTCAGCTGACCATGAGGTAGGAGAATATCCTAGATCACCCAGGCGGGCCCAGTGTAATCAGGGTCCTGTACCTGGCAGAGGGAGGCAGATGGGAGAGGGTGGCTGCACTAGCAGCCCTCAGCCCTACTTGCTGGTTTGAAGGTGGAGGAAGAGGCCTTAAGGCATGCAGTGAAAACAGCCTCTGGAAGCTGGAAAAGGCAGAGAAACAAATCCTCCCCTAGAGTTTCTGGAAAGGAACAAAGCTCTGCCAATACCTTGACTTCAGCCCAGCGAGATCCATTTTGGACTTCTGACTTCCAGCGATATAAGACAAGAAATTTGTGTTTAAAGTCACGACGTTTGGGGCGCCTGGGTGGCGCAGTCGGTTAAGTGTCCGACTTTAGCCAGGTCACGATCTCACGGTCCATGAGTTCGAGCCCCGCGTCAGGCTCTGGGCTGATGGCTCAGAGCCTGGAGCCTGTTTACGATTCTGTGTCTCCCTCTCTCTCTGACCCTCCCCCGTTCATGCTCTGTCTCTCTCTGTCCCAAAAATAAATAAACGTTGAAAAAAAAAATAAAGTCACGACGTTTGTCATCATTTGTTACAGCAGCAATAGGAAACTAATACAGTACTCTTAAGAATTTTCGGTGAAGGGGAAGCCCTGAAATACTGCCACTATAATTGTTCCAAGGGTCTTCCAAGTGCACATACATGCATTCGTTCCACGAATATTTACTGAGCACCCGGTATGTTCCAGGCACCAGCTGCAGAGGTGAGCAGAACCAGCTCCCATCCCTGGGGAGGGGGGTCAAGGGGCTAGATCACCCAGGATGCTACACCGTGCACGTAGCAGGCGCCTGCCCATGCTTGCCACTTCTGTAGGGAGGAGGGGCTGGTGAGAATCTCCCTCCTTTGTATCCACTGGTTGTCAGTCAGTGTCCCCCGTGCTGGATGTGTCGAGGAAGAGGAAGTGTTTGTGCTGAGAGCAAACACTGAGAGTGGCTTTGGTCAATATTTGTGCCCCTCTCCACCGTCAGCTGTTTGCCCCGGCTACCGCGAGGGCCGGGCGGCCAGGAGTCGGATGTTAGGGAGCTTGTGGCTGGCATAAGAATAGGGCAGGGGAGCTCCCGTCCTTTCAGGGGAGGGCTTGCTGATGTCCGTGGTCCCTGTCAGTTCTGGGGGCACTCGTGGGGATCCAGCACAGGGTGGGCTTGGGCCTGGTGTTTGGGCTGGTGTGGAGTCAGCGGGAGCCATGAAGGGCTCTGGAGTGGGGGAAGGCTCCAAGTCCCCTTGTGCCTACACTCCAGCTAAGCCACGCAGAGGAACATAGGGGCGCCCTGCGGTTGTGCTGTCACCTCCCGTGCGTATGTGTGTGTACACGCACAAACACGTATACACCCTCCCAATGCCAGGAAACAGTCAACTACTCACCCCCACACACACACACACACACACACACACACGCTTGCAACACACACACTTTCCTCTGATGCTAGTGATTATTACCTAATGCACATGTGTCTGTGTGACTACATGCACACAACCACATACTACACACACAGCCCTCATACACACATATATACAAACTTCTTCACGTATACACACAGCTCCTCGGGCCCCAGATGGCCCAGGTGGGGCCTGGAGTTTGTAATGTGGAAAGAGATGACGGGCCACACCCATGGCGCGTGAAATATGCGTTCGGAGAGAGCCTGAGGTGTTAGGTAGCAGGGACTCCCTCTCATCCGTTGCCCTTTGAGTTAGGGTTCAGGGTGTGGCCAGGAGCAGGGCTCAGTCAGTGACTGGGGTCAGGGATCAGGTAGCCTCCTGCTCCTCCCGAAAGGGCCACGTTTCTGAGAGAGCTTAGAGCCACCAGGCCTGAGAGGTCGGTGAGTCGTGTCCCTGACTTTGGGCCTGGCCAGGTCCGGCTGGAGTGCTGAGGGGGCCCTGCGAAGAGTGGTTCTCTTTCCAGAGATCTCCTGGCCTAGGAGGCCCCAGGGTGGCCCATCCCCAGGGTCCTGCGGCGCTTGGCAGCAGCCCGGTTACGTGGCCGCCCCACCACGTATAGGATGAAACACTTTGGCACAGGCCGTGTTTGCAGGGAAAACACTCGCAACCACAAGCAAACCTGCCCCTCCCTGGGTCCCTTTGCAGTGAGCCACACACACCTGGGAGCCTCATAAAACAGCTTCCACACCTGCTAGGGGCTGAGAATCCACCCGTCCCAGAAAACCACCTGAGGTAGGAATGGGAATGGGGCTGGCACCCCTCCGGGGAGGAGCCTCGACTTCCCCATCTGTTTAACGGGAATACGACTTCCAAGCGCCTTCCACAGAAGGGTCCATCCCCGGTCTTGTGGTGGGACTTTGGGCAAGTGCCACCTCGCTGGGCCTCCATTAGCCCATCTCAGCAGCGGCCCCTCATTCCTAAGTCAGACACAGATCCATCCGCTTGGCTGGGCTGGGTCTGGAGGGGTTTGGGGGCCATGCTAGAGGCCTGCATTTAGGACAGTCCTCAGCTGGTACAGGATAAGGTGAGGACAGGAGCCACCCTGGCTGGGTTCGAACAGCTGGACACTAGGATGGGCTGTCACACTGGGCTGGACTCCTGGCATCAGGAAGAACAGCCCTGGGCTTGGGGGTGGTGGGCCCGGGCTCTCTCCTTGGGGCGGGAGGCTGCTCTCAGTCTCCCTAACCAGGAATCTCCTCCACCTCCTCTGGCATGGCGTGGGTCCTACCGCCGGCCCTAGTTTGCTGTGTGGCCTTAGGCAAAGCCATGTCTTCTCTGGGCCTTGGGGCCCGCTTCCAGACCAGATCTCCCTGTGGCTCCTGAGGAAGCAGGCTGGGAAGGTGATACCTCCCAATGCAGAGATGCAAAACGGACGTGTGAGGGTCTCGGGCAGGGCTGCGATCACCACCCAGGGCTTGCGACCTCCGGGCTGGGGTGGGGTTCAAACGGCCAGCGGGGTGGGGACGCATTCTGGGCAAGCTTTCTGATGCTCGTCCCCGCCCCAGCCCACAGATCTCGGGGAGGCAGTGGCCAGGACAGCCATGGCTCCGGCACGCAGGGTGGGCCTGTTACTATCCCTGCTGCTGCCTGTGGTCAGCGCCTCCATGCCGGGCACCGTGGTCAGACTCAACAGGGCCGTGCTGAGCTACGGTAAGAGGCGTGCTGCCGGGCTACCCCGTGTGACAGGGCACAAGCATGGGCGCGGTCCCAAGCGCGCCTGCGGATCTGTGAACTCAAAAGCCGCACAGGGACCGGGGTTTTATCTCCTGGGCCGCTGTGTCCCTGGCCCCCAGATAATGGCTGACGAAGTGCGGCTCGGCAAACGCTTATTAAGTAAATGCCCGAGCGGGGGTATATGTCCTGTCTGCCACGCGTGTGCGCATGCACGGCTGTACTCGTGTGGCCCTGCGAGTGGGCAAGGGTTGGTGTGGGTGTCTGCTTTTGCTCGTGCGTGTCTGCGTGCAAGCCTGAGAGTTCATGGAGATGCATGTGCCCATGTGTGCGCTTGAGTGTCAGCAAGTGTACTGACTTGTATGTGTGCAAGCGCCATGCACGTGCCTGGGTGTGAGCATACAGGTGTGGCTGCCAGGCCTGCACATGTACATGCGTGCATGCAGGGTGGGCTGTAGGTGCACACACATGTGCTGGGGGAAGGCACGTCTGGCACAGAACTGGAGCTGGAGCTCTGTGGGGTTCACAGGAAGAAGACCAGCGCTGCTCTGGGCCCCTCTCGGGCAAGGTCTCTATCCTACGACTCTGCCCGTCCTTCTAAGACCTGCTTCATCCCCCGAGGAGGGCACAATGAGAAGACGTAGGCCCAGGGAGGGACAAAAGCTACCTCCCAGTTGCCCCCGGGATCCCACCAGAGCTGGGTCAGGGGTGAGAAATCAGAAGCCGTTTCTCCCAAGTCCAGACCAAATTCAGATTACAGCATGAGGCACTCAGGTCAGACAATAGAAGGGACTTTCAGTGGCCCAGGCCACAAAGTACGGAGGCAGCAGCGCCCCTGGCACACACACAGCCTTCCAGGACCTTGTATCCGGGCAGATAGGCAGGCAGTGAAAGGGGTCAGTGACCCGTGTTAGTCTGTCACTGGGGCATGGAGACGTGCGTGGAAACTACAGGCAGGGACATGAGGCCTGCTGCCTTCTGCTGGCCGTCATCGCTCTGCCTGTCCTGTGTGAGCCTCCTTTGTCCCCAAGAGCCATCCCAGGTGCACCTGCGTGTGCTCTTGG